AAATGCATAGACAGAGAGATCAGAATAAATACTAAATTAAATGCAGCTCTTACCTTCTTTTAAAGGATTTTGAGAAGTTTAAATATATAAAACTTAATTTACTAACTAATTTGTAGAGTGAAAAGGAAAATGGGACTTTCCACAACTTCCAATTACAATAAAAAGTATTTTAGATGGCTTTTAATGACTTAATTAGCAAAATAACTGATTGAGCCAGCCCTAGATAGACTACATTGAGACAGCCATTGGAAACCTGCAGCAAGACCTCAGACTATGATAAATCTTAGATAGACCTTGTGTCATGTCCTCGATGTCAGGCCCATCAACCTTTTAATGATTGTGTTTAATATTTAAATGTTCTGAGGAAAAGGAGACTTGTTTGCAGTTCTCTGAGTGGGGATTTTATCTGATATAAATCATATCATATATCTAAACACACATTAAACTAAATAGTTGGGCCACATGAGTCTCTGCAGGGCAAAATTGCAAGTCTGTTTTCACCAGAATGAGTCTAAATTCACTCGATTTGCATCTAAGGCTGAAAACCTGGTTCAGAGGAATCCTGACAGATTGATGTTGTCATGCTGATGCTGTCACTGGCTTGATGCTGGACAGGTTAATGATTTATGGGGAATAGTGGGATGCCCAGAATGGGACCCTGGTTAATGTTCACCTTTTCTCGCCGGACCTCCTCTCTAGGGGGGCTGCCCACGGCCAGTCCAGATCCAACCGTCGAGGGGATGTGACTGACTGACTCGGCCGGCCTCCAGCTAAACCCGGCACACACAGCAGGGAGGGAGCCCACGCTCTGCCCTCAGAGGCCTGTGAAAAGACTCAGAAAAGAGGAGGGGACAGGGAGACTGACGAGGCCTAATCGTCTTTTTAATGAGTCTCAATGGAAGCAATAGAAAGCAGCAAAAAATGATCAAAACTGTTGTAATGAGCTAACAAACCAAAACACACAGGTGATGATTTAAGTTCCTGTCCTTTCAAAAATGTTACTTTACTTGGTTGGTTGACCTTTGCTGTGCAGAGTTTGATAAAGGGAGAAAGTTTCTCTGTGCTCTCCTTCAAGTTTAAGACATGTAGGAACCAGCCTGCTTTTGTGAAAACACTTCATGGTATAATGCAGCTGAAGAGGGATGTGGGAACTTGAAATCCACTGAGATGTTTTAGTGAATCTTGTTTCCAGTAATTAACCTTGTGTGTTAAATACTTTCAATGTATTGATTCTGTATTTTTCAATGGAGAGCATCTTTAATTTTCAATGAATGTATTTCATTCATTAATAATAATTGAATTATTATTCCAAGTAGAGCATTTTATATGTCCTAATGTCTGGAGTGGATCCTTTTGTCCTGCAAGTCTGCTTAAGATTTTAGAGAGTCCAAGTTCCTCCTTGCAACCCCCTCTATTTTTCATTTGTATGCTTCATTTTTTATTTATTTAGCCATCTGTTTAATTATATTTTCTTTAAATGTCATTGCCCACATGAAGATCAAAATGTATTTTCTGGAGAAAATGCTGATGATATAAGGTCTGTTATTGAACCTCACCAAAAGGTGTTGGTTGTTTGGTATTGAACGCTTGTTCAAGCTTGTGTCTTTTATAATTCCTAATCAAAATCAGAAATCTTATATAACTTCAGATTATATAATAACTGGGCAAAGTTGATTATTTAACATTGAGCTGTTTGATATATTTTGTTAAATAATAAAAAAAGGGTTAAAACATATATATTATTATATTCCCCAAAGTAAGGTATCATATAAGCAGGGCTGTAGCACAGATTTTAAAGTCATGAGCCACCCTCTTTTCCACTTATCTTTTTCAAATTTTACTTATTTGTTCAACTGTTCCATTTTATTTAGTTTTCAATTTGATCTCTCAACATTGGTTTTATTCTCTTTTTTATTTAAACCTGTGAAAGTTAAAGATTTTTGTGTTTACATGTACAATATAAAAACAAAACAAACAAAAATGAAAAACAAAAATACTAATGATAGGACCTCAGAGTCCTCAGTAGTAGATACAGACCCCTCGTTCTTTATTAATGTATTTTATTGTTAATATGAAAGCAGGGAGATTTAAGTATAAACATGTAAAATAAAACATACAACAACAACAGTTTTTCACTGTAAGATTTCAGTGTCCTCACTAATATCCACGGCTCCTGTGAGATTATGAAAGAATAAATCCTGAGGAAAAAACTCACCCACACACAGTCTTCATCGCCTGCATAAAATACTGTAAAAACAATTTTTTTTTTGTTTTGCTCTTCAAGACCTTCATCTGCTTGTTAAACTGCAGTCTTTCCTTCAGTTGTTAGTCAGTCCGAAGCCTAAATGGTTGCATTTGTCCCTCTGTCATGTATATGGACTCTGAATCATTGCTGCTGAATAGAGCTGAGGTATAGGAAAGGTTGAGGGCAGACCAGGTGATGGATAGCAGCGGGGCTTGTCATCCACATGCCTCACACCACTCTCATTAAGCTGTAAATCTTTCACAACAACACCCACTAAAGACAATGCCAGAGAGGCTTTTCCTTGTTGCTCCACCTTGTCATTGGTGTAACAATGAAATTGGCAACTGAATCAAAGCACGCACAATGGCCTCAATGCTTCGAGCAGCCAGTAAAAATGTTGGGCACGACAAGTTGGGGATAGACACGGTTGGCGTGAAATACAGCAAACAAGAAAAATATCAGTTTACATGACATACTTCTAATGGTTCAAATCTAATTCAGTAATATAATGACACATTTCAAACAAATTCACTTTGAGAATGAATAAAATGTGTGTTGTAGTACACCAGGTGACATTTTCTGCCTGTTTAAAAGGTGAAAACAAATCAAACACAAATGAACATAATGCAAGTTTAAATTTGCCACTGCTATTGTCTTTGCCATAAATCTTACATCTAGAATAATTTTGGCTCAAAAGTAGAGTAAAGAGAGAAAACTAATGTAAAAACATGTACTCAAACATGTGTTGTTACAAAATGTAAAGACATGTGGTACAGAAATGTAAGCTGTGGGTAGCTAAAGTGTTGGTGACACACACAAAAGACCACACACAGAAAGGTGTGCACGAAAGACCATAAAAGAGTTTCTGAAGTATTTGTATTTGCTATAATTGTGCAGCCAAAAAAAACCCAAAACTTGGCACTTTAAATTATTTACCCAACATAAACATCTTTTTTTATAAACTGGAACAATTAGATACAGAATATATGATATTATACTGGTGTGGAAAACTTTTTTGTCACTTTGCTTTTATGTGCTGCAATAAAATCAACACAGACCTTTAATGTTCAGTTTTCTGACTCCATCTACTGGGTCATGAAGAGCACAGCTTTCTGTCATTATGTTCTCAAGTCTCTCAAATACTCATCCTTGCTAGAAGACATAAACTGCATGGCCAGTGTCAGACTGGACACACACCATACAGGTTTCATCAGAAAGACCTTCTGTGTGTACAGCAGTGGTTTTCAAAGTGGGGGCATCAGCAAACATTGAGGAAAGATGATGGAAAATGCTAAATTATTATTATTTGTACTATTATAAATCTAAATCTTATTTGTCACACCCTTTCTAATTGCCTGCCAGTCAAAACCTCCTTCATTACATAAACTGTCAGTGTTTGACCTGGTAACCGTCTGCGCCTGCAACGAAGCAGCTCTGCTCTTGAGATGATAAGCAGATCACACACACACACACACACACATACACACACACACACATACACACACCTAAATGTTGTTGAATGTTAAACTAAACTGACAAACAATATTTATAATGGAAAACAGAAATATTAAATCCAATTGACCGATTAAATTATTATTATATTTATTATATTTGCATTAATAAAAGTGAGGAAATATTTATAAGTACTATATTGTCAATGGGACATCTTGCAAAAAGGGGGCTCGGCCATAAGCTAATGCTATTTGTTTGGGCCTGGCATGGAAAAGTTTGAGAACACCTGGAGAACAGTGAAGGCCTTAAAGGTAAACACTGACACCTGCTGGGACACTGCGGTTACTGCAGTAAACAACCTGTGGAGATGGGAATGTGCTGCCCTGTGTTCTGCCTCTCAGGTTGCCCTTCCTACCTAGGTTGAGGTTGGCACACTCGCTGCGTTCAGTTTCCCTTATGATTATTATATATATATATTGGTATCAGAATCAGAAATACTTTAATAATCCCAGGGGGAAATTATTTTCATTACAAGACTCCAGGTATACAAACAACATATATTATACAAGCAACATCTATTAAGAACAAAATATAAATATATATATATAAAACTATATATATATATATATATATAAGATATATAAAAGATCAAATTTACAGTTATACAGTACAAATGTGCAAAAAGTGCAAAAAGTGATTGTCTGTCAATGGGAATCTTGCAAAAAAGGGCTCGGCCATAAGCAATGCTATTTGTTTGGGCCTGGCATGGAAAAGTTTGAGATACACCTGAGAACAGTGAAGGCCTTAAAAGGTAAAACAGCGACACCTGCTGGACACTGGCGGGTTACTGCGTAAACAACCTTGAGATGGGGAATGTGCTGCCCTGGTGTTCTGCCTCTCAGGTTGCCCTTCTACCTTAGTTGAGTGGCACCAACTCGCCTGCGTTCATGTTTCCCTTATGATTATATATATATTTATATGGTATCAGAATCAGAAATATACTTAAAATCCCAGGGGGAAATATTTCATTACAAGACTCAA